TCCTGGCTTGCATCTTATTTCTTTATGTAGGTTGCACTCCCTTAAGTTCTCACTCTAAGGAAACCTGTGTATGATTTCTACGAGAATATTCTTGCAGACCCTCGAGTCGTGTTTTAATAGAAGCTAAAGCAGGTCAGAAGGTGTTATGCCCAGCTTAACTTCACTTACATTGTCTAGGTGTGCAGTCAGGGAGAGAAGCAGAACTGAATGTTCTTGCAGACCCTCGAGTTGTGTTTTAATAGAAGCTAAATCAGGTCAGAAGGTGTTATGCCCAACTTAACTTCACTTACATTGTCTATGTGTGCAGTCAGGGAGAGAAGCAGAACTGAATTTACATGTCCTTTACATATTTTAGTCTAGCATCTTAAGTCTAGCATGCTTCCTCTAGTAAGCAGGTGTCCCAGCATCTTGCAGATGAATGGTTAGAATGCTTTGCATGATGACCCATGTAAATGTCATATGAGTACCTGAAAATAATAGACAGATTATATTTTAGTACAAAGGCAGTTCTAACAATGTCCCTACCTGCAGATTATATTGTACAAAGGCAGTTCTAACAATGTCCCTACCTGTTTTTTTTTTAACTTCTTAAAATCTAGCTTTTGACTTAATGTGGAAAGAAGTTCCCAGGTTAGGCGCCAGTTATTGGGACAATGAGATAATTTAATCAGGTGCATGCTTTGATGTTGCTGTCAGTTTTGATTGTTTTGTATCTTAGAATCAGTGGACACCTGTTCTGTCCTTAATTTTAAGCATGTTTTTTTTAACTTCTTAAAACCTAGTTTTTGACTTAATGTAGACAGAAGTTCCCAGCTTAGGTGCCAGTTGTTGAGATTACTGAGATAATTTAATCAGGTGCATGCTTTGATGTTGCTGTCAGTTTTGATTGTTTTGTATCTTAGAATCAGTGGACACCTGTTCTGTCCTTAATTTTAAGCATCCAAGTTTAATAAGTTTTGGCCCTTATACTTTTTTGTGTGCTACTTCAAACACCCTGCTTTTCCTGCTGGCTTGGGCTCGTATTTATTAAGCTAAGAGCAACCTCAGCTGATTCCCCAACACATGGACCCCTCTACTTCCATTACTTTGTTTTTTTGTTGTTTACCTCTTATTACTGTTATATTTTGTGAGCCTAAGATAGTATTTACAAGATATAAATCTATGCATAGTAAACATTCTTATGAGATAAGGACTTTTTCCCCCATCTTTAGCTGAATCTTATTATTTTTGTCTACGATCAGATGTTCATTGGAGAAGACTCTACTGCTTATCAAGCAAGAGAATGGGAAATGGATTAGACTTTTTGCCAGCAAGAGGGAAAACTGTGGTCTGTGTCAGGAAGCTGAGGAAAGGGGCTCTGCCTGACCCAGGGATGAGAAGAAGGATGCTGCTTATATTCTGGTTAGAAAGGGGAAAATGTATATATTCAATTCTGATGAAATGAAATGTTTTATATCTACCTTGTGGACTACATTAATTAAAATATACAAATTGTAATAGAAAACTTCACTCTTTAATATAAGGGGTAGGGTTATTGTAGTATTCACAAGGACAAAGGCATTAACTGAAAAATGAGAGGTGACAGCTCTTTCTCTTAAGCTCCTGCTAACAGAAACCCAAGTTCTCTGTTCGCAGAGCAAAGGAGCATGTGGGCATGAACAGCGGGATGAGCCGTGGCTTCGCTGCCCTGCCAGCATCCCACAGTGTCTGACTTCCCAGCAGAAGGTGGTTTTTGGCCTTCAGGCTAATGTAAGCTCAGCCCTTCCTGGACGACTTTTGGTAGGAGTGGCGCTCAGTGTCTGACTGGTTATGCTGGCAGTTGTTGGAAAGGTTAGCTGGAGAACACCAAAATATTCAAAGTGGTTAGCATGGACAAACCAACTCCTGAACTGCTAGAGGGGAAAGCAAGATTAACGTGAAATAACTGTCCATGTCTCTGTCCCCTAAATGTGGTGTTGTAAATAAGGTGGTTTAAACATTTATCCTTTAAAATATTTAAAATTTCTCTGTAGAAGAGAGGCACGTAGCCATCGTATCTTTCCACTACAGATCTTCATGGTCTGATTGCCTCGATTTTCCTGGGTCTCTTCCCCTCCCTATGGCAAGTGAAACTGAAGTAAAACCATTTTTGCTTCTTACTAAATTCTCCTTTACCCACTGTGTTTTGTGGTAAAGGGCTTATTTTTTGGCTTTATTGGCAAGAGATGAAACAAGTAACTTTTCAAACAAAATAGAAATATCTACAAAACTTTTAAAAAACCAGTTTAGATTCCTGTGCAGATAAGATGTTACAGCTTGTGGGAGTTTAACAGTTAAGAAGTAAAAGTATGAGAGTAACATGCAAGCATAAATTTCTCTTATGCAATAGGTCCTTATTTAAGACTGCTACTCCTACTTAAAGACTATTCTGTGTAGTCTAAGTTTTCTTGCCTAATTCTTCAAACCTTGTTTTTGGGCTCTTCTGTTGACTTCTGTGTCATTAGCTCCCAAATGGACCAATATTATTCCAGCTCTTGCAAAGAACTCTGTCTCCCTTTGCTGTGAAGTCTGTCCTGGTATCGAGCAAGTCCAAAAATAAATGGTACAGTGTAGTATAAGATGTACAGTGGCACATCTATGTGTATTGGGTCCCTGACTCTACTGTGACATTTGGTGCTTTTTATTGTGATTATGTGCCCTTGTACAACTTGCCATTTCCCTCTGCCTGTGCTTTCTTTGTCTTCATTCTCTCCTTACAGAATGCAGAGCCTCTCAGTTTTCCCCTGCCCATTGCATAGGGTCAAGTTCAGAGATATTTCACCTTGTGAAATGAATAGCTATTAAAATTTTAACTTAATTAAAAAATAAATTACCAAAATGAGTGATGTGTGTCACGTGGAAAGAATTGCTTTGGATATAAATTGGTAATCTTAAACACTGAATGTACAGCTTGAAACTAGAATTGCTTTGCATGTGCTATTGTGTGATACTGGATATATTTGGACAAGAAGTTCTAGGAGATGAGAAATTGTAAGGGAAGAGTTTGAGTTGTTTTCTGAAAGAATGGCCAAAGAGGTTCTCTTACTTTCAAGTTTTCTGTGTCTCTCAACCTTCCTTGTTATGAGTTACTCAGCATTTTCCACGCTTTATACGATCTGTCTATTATCTATGTCAATTAGCTCTCTACTACTTTCTTAGCAGAAAACAACAAAGCAGTGCTTTATTTGAAAAAAAAAATGTTACTTTTCAACAAGTTGACTGAGATGTTTACGTTAATAGTTATGTCTCCAACTTGTGGTGACCTTAATCTGAAGAATGCTGTATGAAGATGAACTGTAAAATTGATACTGACATTGATTGATTTTCTTAATAGTTTTCAGGGGAATTACGAATTTTAGTTCTCAGTCTCTCTCTCTGCACAGCCAGATTTCTGAAGTCAAGGATGAAGTGCTTGTATTAGGGAAAATATTCTCACTGGGATTTGGGTGCTTTTGTGTTTATTACATTGGTCTTGTTACCATCATTCTTTTGGAAAAAAAAAACCTAACAACTAACTACATAA